TTGTAGACGCCTCGTTAGGGTGCACGTGCGCTGGCGGTGGCGTGCACGGATTGGAAGCGCCCGCCTAAGCAGCGACTTCAAACGCGGCACCGGCTAATGCTGTTTGTTTGAGCTAAAAATGTGTTCCGAACGAGGTAGGAGGATTGGCTCGGCAGACCACCCACGAATCGCAAACGGCTACCTTTTTATCTCATTCTGATTGATGGAAGCACGACATATAATTGCAAGCTAGTTTGTGCGCACGTATGATTGACGTATGCCAATCACTTGCTCGATTCATAAAAAAGTAGATATGGGTCAAGTTATGAACGGCATGATGATCACAATTGTTTTTTTATAATCCCTATACCTACATTCTGTGAATCCAGCTTTTTAGCATTTACCTACATTGAAGCAATATTGTTCTGAAACTCACCGAGAACCCAAAGTTACATAAATGTTGAGCGATTCCAACTTTTGTGTCGTTTTATTGTAGGTATTGCCACTAACCAAAGTCTTGCCCGGATCGTTGGGCTGACTGAAACTGCTATGGGCCTGGTCTTGGTCTGACGATGACAGGAGCATCAATGTTAGAACAGATGATCCTCCTTTTCAAATGAAACTACGATTGAATAGCCTTTATGATGTAATTTATTTACGGTAGAATGCAACGGGTGCCATTGTTTCAAAAGAAGCAGCATTCCACGAGAGAGGCCACTGTTATCTGAACCTAGTCAGCAAAAAGTCATGGAATTCTTCTGATAAAATCGCACAAAGACACCCTTCAAGCGGTTGATCACTTCACTTGGACATGCCAAATGCCGGGCGTGCGTAAGAAAATGACTGCACCTTGATTTACAAGTATAACAGGGCTGGCCTGTTCCATCCTCAGTAGTACGCCTGACTTGAACGCATGGTTAGCATTCACGACCAACTCTGATCTCTGGCCATATAAGTCAGCCCTACACCAGTTATCCTCCTCAGAAAAGGATCTGACCACTCGACGAGATCAGGCCCTCCTTTTGTAGCCAGATACTCCCCGAGCACGTAGGAATGCTGGAATGGAATCAAACTGGCCCACCCGGAACGCAGTCTGTTGGTCTGTCGATCTGTCAGTCTGTCGGTCTGTCTGTCTGTCAGTCTGTCTGTCTGTTGTTTGTCTGTGTGTCCGTCTGCCCGTCTGTCCGTCTGTCCGTCTGTCCGTCTGTCCGTCTGTCCGTCTGTCCGTCTGTCAGTCCGTTACAGAACCCCGCTCACCTATTAGCCGTTTCCCGTACAGACACAGGCTGAGCGGTCACAGGGCTCGACAGGCGTGTCAGGCGGATCGGTCAGCCGGCAACAGGCGCAGACAGGCGGGGACAGGCGGGCTGAGCTCTGGTCAGGCGGAGAGACAGGCGGAGACAAATGACGACAGGCGGAGGCGGGCGGCGGCCGGCCGCGGACGCGTCCCATTGTGTTTCTAATCGACAGCCATCGGTGGTGCGTCGGTGCGGCTCGGATCGGTGGGGCCGACGGAGGCTCTCGCGGCTGCAACCGGCCGTATCGCCGACCTCTATACATACACATGAGGCTGACGGGGTCGCGACACGGCGCCGGTGGAAGGTGCTCTGATGCCGCCGACGTCAGGCGCTCGAAATTCGCGGAGACAGCGGCGGTGTCGATGACAGGGGTGCGGTGTCGGCGACAGAGGCAGAGTGGGTCTGACGACCGCTAAGTGACGGCCGGCGCTGTCACAGGAAGGGTTAGAGAGCTCTGATAGACGGCAGGGAAGGAGAGGCGCAGAATGGCGGCGAGATCCTCAGCGAGGGATGTAGGTAAATACTGAACAGGTGGTGCGCGTATGTTGAACAATGTCTGACATATGGACAATGAAAACTACATGTGCAATGTGCTTGCAATGCTCTCCCTGCAGTTGCGCCCACTACCTCTCGGAGGAATTCAAGAGGGGTGCGAAGTAATCACGAATTGGATTGCTTGACAAGGACGGTGATCTTAAGCTTTACACTGGGATGGCGTTGAGTCCCCTCGAGCTGCCTCCACCTGCGAGTTTAATTCAATCGCCGCACCTGTCTCGCCTCTCTCAGCCGCCCGCCCTCTGAAGTAGCGCCCAGTTGTGGCCCTTCCCGTGCAGACGGGCCGCTGCAGTCCATTGAAGTCGCGCCGGCCGGCCGAGGTCCAGCGTGACTCGGCACGACGGCCAATTAGAGTCGGGCTCGGCGGCCCCTCAGAGGCCACTTATCTCGTCGGGAGGCCACGCAAACCGGCGCCACAGCTTCACGCACGCCGCAGTTGAGGGCAGGTTCACATGTCACGGCTCAGGTTAATGCAGGATGGTACATGGTGTGCTTAGGTGCTTAGCTGCTTAGTAAGTAGATTAGACTTACTCACCAATCCATTGCTGTTCTCTTTGGCAATTTTTCTTTCTTGTATCGGTTATTCAAAATGTAATGCCCTGTCTTGGGGTGGAAGGCAGAAGTGACTGTGTGTCTCACTGCCCTAATCGCGGTGTAATGTAGGTATCTGCCCGTCTCGCTGCCCGTCTCGCTGTACTGCGGTGGGAGGCAGCAGTGCCCCAGCTGTTTGTCGGCCCGTTTGTCGGCCTCTCTCCGACCGACCAGCTCCGGCTCAGCGCGGATTATAAATGGCTTATCGGCCATTAGTTTCACAAGACAATAAAATCGGCCCGGACGCGCCGTAATCCCGGGGGTAATAGTTTCGGTCTGATAGGCCTGTCACACACGGCCAGTCAGCGTAGGTTATCGGTGAACACCGGTAGACGAACGTGGGAGAATGTCGGGGCAGAGCGAGCAGGTGGCATCTGATTCAATGACCTCTCCAAATTCGTTCGTGAGTTCGTTCCGTCCGCTCGTTCTTTCGTTCGTTCGTTTGATCTCCTGTCCGCTACATTTTGTTCGGCGTATAACCGGGTGGAGAAGAGACGGGAATCTTTCCGGCTTCTGGCGGGCTCAGCGCCGCCTTGAATTTCCTATCAGCTCGGACGCCCCTGAATCCCCGGCGCGGCAAATATTGAGTTCGTGCCTTGATATCCCCCGGGGCGATTTGTTACATTTCACCGAGCCTTTCGGTCGGGGCTGACGATGAATCCGCCAGATTCATCACCAGCCCGCATCTTTTGTTGCGGCCCGTGTCGCGGCTTAGATTGTGTCGGCATTTCTCTGCAAATTACAGCCGGCCAATCGGGTGATGGATGGCCGGTAATCAAACCATCAGGCGGCGCGGTAACCGCTCGTTTCTGCCGGCCGGCCGTGCGTGCCCTCGCTGCGATCGACTGTGACCTGTGACCGGCCGCGGCGCGACTACACCCAGCGTCTGAGCCGTCCGTTCCCACGACGGACCGTGACCGGCGTGCCACCGGCTGATCGACCCAAACGAGCGCCGCGCCGGGAGCCGCGCCTCATTTGACGCCGCGAGATGATAATTGGGCCGCGCCGAGTCAGGTGCCCGTGCGCGGCGCCCCCTGCAGGTCGGCAGGGCGGCTCGGCGCGGTGGCTGCTCAGGTCCCACCGGGTGTCCGAGCGGCTGACCCGGGACCGGGGCGCGCCAGACGCCCGGGGCCGTCACGACGGCCACTGCAGACCGCGCGGCCCCGGAGAGCGCCATTCCGCCGGCCGCCGGGGGGCCGATCCGGTCGTGACGGAACGCCGGACACGGAGGGCGCTTCGTGACCGTTCCGGCCGCCGCGGGGGCGCGCTCGCCGGTCAAGGCTCGGTCGGCTGTGGACAAATGAGGCGCCCATTGTGGCCAGAGGTGAGCCTCAAGAGCCGCCGAGTGGCGCCGGTAGTCACGACCGCGCCGTGTGACACGCGGCTTTATCGCCGCGCTACGGTCGCAGCGCTGTAGTCCGGTGACGTGCCGACTTGTTTGTAGCCGTGTTGGCGGCGTTGCTTCATCTGACCTGATTCAGAATCACGAAGATGCGCTTAGCCATTGTCATTGCTGTCCGGCCGCCGCTCTCATGGAGGGTGACTCATCATTTATGGGATTTCACCTGCAGCATGTTTCCGTTTAAATTGGCAGCTGACTTCTGCTACCCATGTCAATCGAGCTGAATAAACCCGAGCATTATGAGCTCGCACGAGAGGCGCCATATTGTGCGACAGACTTGCCATTTAGCGGAAGCTGCACCGGCCCCCTTCCCTCCCGGTGGCTCCATTTCATTTTCTGTTGCTCTCTAACGAAGAGTGACATATCTGAGTATCTAACGATAACGGACAGGCGGGCACGGCCCTCTCTGCCCGAGTCGGAGCGCGCTCTGAATATTCAACGACCCTGATTCACTAACGCTGTACCCCTGACGCACTGTCACGTGCAGATTATTTTTAACTTTTTGCTTATTGCGCTGCTGAAATGTGTCACCGATGCCGTGCAGGCTAAATCGCGGCATTTTATGAGCCGCTCGACTGCGTGAATAATTCATCTCACAACGACTGATGTGCCCCCGAGCGCCGTGCAGCAGGCTAAAATTCCATCAGCATTTTGAAAAGGCGGCCATGACAGATAATGCGAACACGTGCTTCAGAAGAGTCCTTGCTGGCTTAGTTTTGCATTCAGGCTCACAGAAGCTGTGAGGCAGTGTTTCAGCTAATTAAGTTCATCAGACTACAAAGAAAATCAAATCGAGTTATGTAAACCAGGAAGTAAGTAGGGATTGTAACTTGAAAGTGATCTTGCCATTTTCATTCTACAGACGTAAGTTCGTTATCTATACGTTTATGTTTGCATTTTGATCTAAACAAGCATGTAGGTACTTAGAAGAAATATCTAATTTCAAGTATTTGTTACATAGGCCATGCTTAGTGCTTACTTAGCGCATGCTTACTTACCTTAGGACACAAGTTTTTGCAATATAGAAGATGACGTAGTTCCAGTTTTCCTTTTCTTCCCATGACACTGCATTAGCCACTCTCAAAAGACGTCAGTTTTCCTGTGGCTGTCCGCGCCCGCGGCTGCTTTACTCTATAGTCATGACCGTCATCCATACAGCTAAGGATGTCATGTTCAGGAGATCCTACAGGTTGTCGTCTTTCTTAGCTTCTGGTCTGACACGAGTAGTCATGGACAAAAAAGAAGAGACAGAAGATTGCATGCAGTAAGACACAAGTCACCCAACGGTCAACAGAGCTACGCTGCAGCTCTTCATAGTTCCGGTGGCTCTAACTGCAGATCATTGAGCGCCTTTCGGTCGACCTCTGACCTGTAGCTGCTGTCGAGGGGGCACCTAAGGCGGTTCGGCTGCTCGAGGGCCGAGGGGTCTCCTGCCGCGGAGACACAGAGAGGCGGTATTACTGTCCGACCTTCCTGGAAGCCATTACCGGCCACTGTATCCGAGCACTCGCCCCAGAGGAGCACTCGTCAGCCCCGTCCGCCACACCAGCTTTTCCAGGACGAACGGTAAGTGGTTGTCGGGTGCATTTGGTTCCAGCAAATAGTGCAAGTTAATTGATAAATGCATACAATTTGTGGTTACTATGTGTAACTTTTTCATTTTTGATTGCATATTGTGTTAGGTATTGTGCGTTTCACAGATAACGAATATCTAGATGCATTCATAAGCATATATCTTTGTACGCAGTGAGCAGAATGCAATATAATATGAAATGGCAAAATGCTGAACGAATTCATCATAACTACAAAATAAGTCAAATGAATAGACCGCTCCCAATAAGCAAACCAATGGTCGGACAGAATCCCATTGGGGATAAAACAGCGACCCTCAATCGACGGATCGCTAATTCCTCTGACGTCACGTGTTTTCACAGACAACACGGGAGCTGTCGGGGCCGACGGACCGGCATTGTGGCTCCGCCTGTCCGCCGGCGGCCCGTTTGTTGATTCAGGTGAGAGCCGGCCGCTGTAGATCCGATAATGTCGGCTACTAACCTCGGCCGTCACATAGTGCGGCCGAGAGAACTGTGGGGAGCGTCACTCAGGAATGGATGGGCGCGCCTGACCGCCCCCCCCCCCCCGACCGCCCCCGACCGCCGCCCCCCGACCACCGCCCGGCCGGCAGTCCCAGTGGCATTGTTCCCAGCACCAGATCACTTTTTGCAGTGGTGCATGCTGTGACAAAAAGGCGAATACTGTGCTTGAGACGCTCACCGTGCAACCGATCAGATATCGAGCAAGAACGGCCCACGGGCGGCTCCGGTGGCGCACCCCTGTACGCGGGGCGACGCTGCGTCATTTTCGCCGCGGGAGGTGTCCAGTGACAACGGCGAAACCATTCATCTCACCAGAGGTTTTGTTAGGCTTCTTATGCCAGATGTCTGCGCAAGGATATTTTGTTATTATTTAGACATTTTTGCAGAGTGAAGCACCTCGCTTCTTCTTGTCAACCATTTTTTTTCCTTTCCATGTCCGAAAGAAATGATTACCAACTGTACCTATAACAACTAAAAAGGCGTTCAAAATGGTGTAAGAAGAATCAATTACTTGGAATTGAATCGTAAGCATTTTTGACAACAATACCTAAAAACCATGAAAAGCACATTTGCATCCAAGTTGCAATTTATAAAAAAAAAATTGGAAGCATTCTTTTCTGAGCATTCCTTTTAGTTTTCACTAACAAGGTGCATATTCACTACCTTTGCATTATGCATTATCACTCAGCTCAAGACTATGGTCATCAGAAAGGTTAAACCAAGATACCTATAAGAAACAGGTAGGTCGGATGTTTTGAGTAAAGCCCTGGTGACGTCACAGACGTTTCTTATATGTAGAATTTCGCCTATAAGGAAAATATTTTACAAACGAAAATTTGTATTTTATTAGGAAAAAATACAATCTTTCAATTTCATTATGAAACTTATATAATTTAATTACAAAACTTGAAATCCTGTGAGTGTTTGTCCCAGCCCCCTGCTATACCTTTGGTCACGTGACTGCCATGATAAACTTTGCGTTTTGCAATGTTATGACTAAAACAGAAGAAATAAATGTTACACGTGTATTATTTATGATGTCTTAGGCAGCAACCGTGTAATTATATTCCTAAAATACATACAATCTGTTGAAAAGAGGTCACGTGATGTTACCAAATTGTGCTCGGACAGCATCTTCTTGAACTTCGATTTTGAGTACTTTGTACCTTCATTGAGGCCTAATAACGGACGTTTTTGGTTATGAAATGAAGCAATGAAGCTAATGAGGGCAAAATTTAATCATTTTTGCACTTTCAGGCCGGGCTATCCTGGCATGAACTTCAGCCAGTTTGTGTGTTAAGCCTATGGTGAAGGGAAAACTTCACGCCCGGCTGACGTCACAGACCTCGGCTACCAAATCGTGTCCGGTGGGGGTCGGGTTAAACAATGATCGATCTGTCAAGAGGTAACGACTCATTGCAAAATATTCAATCAGTAATGTGCAGCTTCAAACATACAATAATATAAATGATCTGCGTCTCTACATTCCATCCACGATAATCATTTGGAGTGATGAGCTGTTCGTGAGGGTGTTTAGCAGCTATACCAAATTAATGATATGACTATGATTTGATAGATAAACTAGGCCTTTACTAGAGGGACCAAAGCACCATTCAAATAAGCTGGTATCGTTTATGCGAAGGTACATATATGTTGATTGCGATCCTACAATATGCTACATACGCACATATCGTGATGGAAGTTAAAGGTGCATATTTTTAAACCATGTAATGCATCATCGACTGGACTTGGCCATCTGACGTGGTCTCTCCCAAATTAGAGTTTCAATTAAATTTTGGAAGCTGTGCTATCTGTAACATATAACGCCTCATAACATTCTCAGCTGTTGATATACACGTATTTCCGTGGGGCCATGAAAACTGTTCGCTCTTGGAATATCAAATTTAACGAACCTCATATCCGTGCACCGAACCATGTTTGGAAGGATTGCTCTCGGAAGCGCAATGTCGTTTCAATTCGAGGGGTGCCAGGGCCAAGGGTGAAAGATGTCGTTTGGTACAGCCTGCAGTTCTATTTCGAGACCATTTTATGATGGCAAAATTTCCAAGTCAATGGCTCTTTTTCTCCATGATGGGAACGCACTGAATCAAGTTCCAGTGCAATATATTCATTTTGAAATATGATCACTGCACGTGCCCGGGTTCGCAAGGACATTTCACAGCGGAGCCTCCGATCGTAACCCCATCAGAATTCGCGTGAGGTGTGAGCCAAAGATCCAATTGATTCTCTGTGACGAAGAAGCGTTCCCACTCCTCAGAGCAGAGAACGAGGCTCGTTGAAGCTACAAAAAGAAACAACCATGGATGACATCAGCATTGCTAACATCTGTAAACAGAAAGGATATGCTCTACAAATGTTATCTGAAAAATAGGAGCAAAGAAAACTTTGCAAAATACAAGGAATGTAAAAATTTGCTTACTAAGATCATTAGGAAGGCAAAAAGGTCCTATTATCAAAATGAGCTAGACAAATATAAAAGAGATGGAAAAAGGCATGGGACATCATCAAGGAAATACTAGGTACAAAGTCTGTGTCCTCTCCTCCAACCAGCCTGGTTGGTGAAAGGGGTATTGTGAGTGACCAAAATGAAATATGTGACCTGCTCAACAATTTCTTTGTAAATGTAGGCCCCAAGATAAATTCTAGTGTCAATGCCACAAATTGTGACCCATTATCATTCATAAAGAATCAGAATGCTGAAACTATATTTATGATACCAACTGACATTGAAGAAATCAACTCAATTGTGAGAGAGCTGAAAAATGGTTCTCCAGGTGATGATGGCATCAGTGTCAAAATCATCAAAGCATTGCAACCTGCTCTTATAAGACCATTGGTACATTTAACAAATCTGAGCATGAGCCAAGGCAAATTTCCAGACCTTCTCAAAACAGCTCTTGTCATTCCAGTTTTCAAGAGTGGAGACAGGTCATTAGCCCAAAATTACAGACCAATCTCATTAATCTCAAATGTCTCCAAAATCATTGAGAAGGTTATTTATAAAAGACTATACGGCTTCCTTGAAACTCACAGTATTATATCTGCCACCCAATTTGGATTCAGGCAGAAACATTCTACTGAACATGCATTAATTTACTTCTTAGACTTTATCACTGAAGCCCTAGAAAGTGGAAAACATGCCATTGGAGTATATCTAGATGTCAAGAAAGCATTTGATAGTGTCAATCATGAAGTACTCATTAAAAAGCTTAATAAATATGGTATAAGAGGAAAGCCCTTGGATCTAATCGCAAATTACCTGAAAAATAGAACTCAAAGAGTAAAAATAGGAGAGCAAGTATCTTCACCAAAGAGCCTAACTTGTGGAGTACCCCAAGGTTCTGTTTTAGGCCCTTTGTTATTCATTATTTACTTGAATGATCTAAGCACCATATCAAACCAATTGAATATCATAACCTTCGCAGATGACACTAATATCTTCCTCAGTGACAGCATGTATGGTAAACTAGAAGGCAAGATGAATAGGGAGCTACAACTTATCAACACTTGGTTTAAATGCAACAAGCTTAAACTGAATCTTGAAAAAACGTGCTATCAAGTATATACCAAAACAAAAGAACAAAATCAACTTAATATAAATATTGAAGGCAGTAACATCAGGCTTGCTCCATGTGTAAAGTTTTTAGGTGTTTATGTAGACTCAAAGCTAACTTTTAAAGAGCATATAAAAAAGCTTTCTACTAAGCTAAATCAAATTGCAGGTATCATCAGTCGGGCTAGATGGTGCCTAAGTGAGCACCACAGCCTATTAATGTACAACGCCCTTGTCTTGCCTCATATAAACTACTGCTGCTTGGTATGGGGCATAAACTATGAAACAAACTTAAAAGCAATCTTGACAGTGCAAAAACGCATGGCCAGAATAATTATGGGTTTACCATACAGAGAATCTGTGACACGCCGATTGAAAGAAATTGGTATGCTCACTATTCGAGACATTGTATCGTATAAAGCTACTATTTTTGCATATAAATACTTAAATGGTCTTCAACCAGCAATATTAAGAAAATTGTTCAAATTTAAACCCCCAAGTGTGACCAGAAACAAAGACACATTCCAGGTACCCTCCACCAGAAACAATTATCGAAAACACACTGTAAAATTTCATGTCCCAGAAGTGTGGAACAAACTGAGCATACTCTGTGACATATCAAAACATGACAGAATAGGAACAATCAAAACTAAAGTGAAAAAACATCTACTAAGATGAAAAGCACCAACACTGGTGCAAAATGAACATACAGTGCTGTTACTCTCATCGAATACATTATACAAGTCCTGACTACCGGCGCACGGGTAACTAGCCATGAGAGCATCTTTAAGAACACATATCATATATTTTAAAGAAAACGAAAAAAGAAAAAAACTCATTTTATTCTTCATCAAATCCATACCGTTTTTAACTAAAATAGTACCTTAACAGATTGATTGACTGATGCGTTGCCCCCACCCCACCCACCGGGCTAACCCGAGACCGGCCCAGCTTAACTGCGGGGCTGGTCGGCTGGCCGGCCGGGCGGGGGACCGGCCCATACGATGGGCTGACCTCCCGCTCGGCTGGCCGGCCTCCGGGGCGCCGTCCACTACGCGGTACGCGGGACGGCGCAGGTGGGGGCGGGCCGCCCGCCTGGAGCGCCGGGGAGGTACCCCATAGATCTCCCCGGCTGGGGAGGCAACGTTGAGTTCTCCCCGGGGCCGGGGCGGACCATTCCTGATGCATTGGTGAATGGTACCGCCCTGGCCTGGCCAGGCGGGCTGCAGGAGTGTGAGACTGGGAGAATGTTGGCATGGAAATGTTTGCTCGCACGAATCACCATATCAGGCCCCATCTCTCCTGATGACTCTCTTGCAACAAGCTCGGCTTAGCTGGAGGGCATCGGGAGGGATGGCAAGACAATATGCATGAATTAGACCAGACCTGATTTACCCCACTAATGTCCCCTTCCAAGTGAGTGTGTGCGTGTTCCTCACTAACAATGTGCGATTGAACCCTTAGCGGACAGTTTATGCTGGATTTGGCATTAACTACTATGGCTCTCTGTATCTACTAACCAAGTTAAATAATATCATACGTAGTCAATTCTGCTTCTTTTATGTTTTTTTCCTCTTCTTAGCAGGGAGTGCCGCGACTTTTTCTACTTTGATTTTGATTTTGGTGTTAACGTAAGGGTTCTGTGCGTCGCTGGGACTGAGGGTGGGGGCACTCCTGGTTGCCTGATCATGGGTAACGGACTATTAGTTAAAAAAAAAAGGTTCTCATACATTCTCATCACAAGTTTGCCATTGACATCTGAGGGAAGACTGCTTATCTATCTTTCTGCAATATGCAATACAGAGACATAGTGCCACACTCATGACTGACGAAAATCGCTTATAGCTAAATGGACGACGGATAAGCGGCGTCGTCCGTCCAAATAGATGTTCGTACCCTAGCTGGAGATCGACGAGGATGGAGGACCATTTACGTTTGGACCGCCCTGCTCTGGCTCCCTCTCTTGCTTCCCTGCCGACCACACTGTCAGCTGGTTGGGCCCTTCCGAGCCCGTCTCACATCTCCCTCGTTTCCCGCGCCCGCCTCGCCCCGGTTCCACGCCTCTGCCGTCTTTGGTCATACGCCAGCATAATTGGTGAGCGGCGGCTCGTCTCATGTCGCCAGAGACCGCTAATTTACCCTGTCCGTGCCTGATGTGTTGTCGGCGGGCCGGACTGTGGGGTTGGCTGCCGCCGCCGCTGCCGCCGCCGCCCCACAGCTGGGCCGCTGGGGGCCCAGCTGTGGGGCCCACCTCCTTCTTCCCTCCTTCCCCCCCCCCCCCCACCACACCCAGTCGGCCCGTGAAACCGAAAATGGCCCGGGCGCCCGCCCCACCAATTATTGCACTTTTACCGGGGCCCGATCGCGCCAGATGTAATTGCTGGCTGGCCCGTCGGCCGACACGCACTAGCCGCAAATGAGATGGATGGAAAATAATGTGTTGTGCTGTTGCTGTCAGATACTGAGAGGAGAAACTCGGGACGTTTATAGTACGGCGCGTAATGACTTCTGGCCCATCAGTCAAAGAGGCGTAGAAATGTCCATGTGAGCGTGTAATGATGGATTTGGCTCGATGTGCAATTAAGTTGTTATCAGATCTGAAATGTAATTGCGCATTTCTACTTGTTTAGTGCCTCAAGAGAGTAAGCTACGTATTTCTCATGCCTGTATTTCTAAGCTGAAATCTTCCAGTAGGTATGTGCCAGACTTTGGTTCTGCGGTGTTTGTTTCAGCTGGGAATTAAATACTGCGTTACCGCTTTGATCTCTTGTAAAATACGGTTGCATAATGCGTGTTTTGAATGTTCGGGACAGTGATAATATTGGTGTTAGGGGAAACGACTCTACTTTTGATTCAATTCAATTGAATACATAATGGAAACGATTTCCAAGCTGCCTCAGCAGCCCGATTGTTCAAGAGGAATCCACCTGCAGAAACAAATTGTCGCTGGTTTCAAAGCGTTTGTATGCTTATCACCGTCTATGACAGCGTGTAACACCACATTTCAAGCCAGCTGTCAGAAAAAGCACTTAGCCGTAATGGTCTGAATGTTACATGGCACGGCCGATGGCAGCCGGCCTGCAGAGAGCGCCGTGAGTGGGCCCATCTCGGGCGCGTTAACATAACTCGTGAGTGCACTTCAAGCCGGCACTGCCGCGGCGGTTCGCCGCCGGTCGTATATACGCTGATCTCAGGAGCGGAACATGTTCGTCAGCAACAAAGACGGCCGCCATTTGGTGAGGACTCACTCAGTGCCAGTTCCACACACAGATTTCCTGTCCTCAGCCCGGCACAGGCACTGTATGCAGGTATGAGTGAGAGTCCGCTATAAGAATGAGTGCCTTATCATCTAACACCGGCATCACTCGGTTGGTGACCGCACGAGCTCCACATTCCGTACACATGATCCGTGACTCCTGAGAGGATTCCACAGTCGCGGCACGACGATCCTCCTCCCACCACGGAGCCCCGCGGCGCGACGACCGGTCAGCGGCTAGGAACGGAACCTCTGTGCGCTCCGATTGACGAGCATGGCGGCCTTTCTGCTGAGTTGTTCCAGAGGCCTCCTTTGTCTCATTCATTTATACATGGTCTATATATAGGGAGAAGGCAGATCATATTTTTTTCAGTTTGATGGAGCATTTGCACTTACCTAGAACAAAACAGTCTAGCTTGATGTTTGGTAACTCCATGTATGTACTTACCATCTGTTGAGGCGATTAGCTGAGTTAACTGAAAGTGACGGATCTCGGCAGCCGGTAAATCGGTAGGTGTTCTCCGTCTCTTCAGTATCCACTATCCAGCCCCCAGTTTATCCGTTTTCCCACACCAAATCCGTCCGTAGCCCGCTGAGACCTACCGGTGCAGTGTTTACCCTGGCTCGGCCGGCGCCGTTTGTACTTGCAGCCAACAAAGTGTGCAACAGGCCACACCGGCACGACAAACACCGGTCTCTCGGAGGATTGTGAGCTACCCAAACTGCGCCGCCCGGTCCTGTGCAGTGGCGCGGAGGTGGCCGAAGGGAAACGCTAAGTCATAGGTATCAAACCTACCCAACAAACCAAGCATTTACCGTATTGCAAAGGCATGCAATACCGAGTAAAGCAGAAAGATGAGAACATTGAAAAGAGCAATGTAAGCGAACACATTTGCTTCTGAAATATTAAAAAAACAATGCCAAAGTGCGCTGTTCTTAGGTATACCGGTATTGTTGCAGTATATTTTTACATAGATTCTGACCTAAAGTAAAGAGCCTGCCGCAAGTTTTTCTCACATTTCATGTGAGCTTCTATATACCTCGCCAGCCGTAAAAGCTACTTCCCAAGATAGCACCGTGTCTGAGCTATAGCTTCTTTCAGAGCGTGAGGCCATCAACAGCGATACGATGATGAAGGTGCGCCGCTATAGTCTCCCTGCGCCGGGTACGCCGCGCTAGCTGCTGTCAACTTTACGGCCTCTGTTTGCCGTTATATGCATTATAAATCCTGCCAATCCGTGGCGGATGCTTACATCTCGCCTGGTCTCACAAGCGGAAAGAAGCCGTCATAAAACATGCCTTTTGATCTCTGACTTTGAGAAGTGTGCGGTATTTCTGGAGAAATATTTTTCACGACATTTTAAAAAGCACTTACAAAGTAACGTTACTCAGCCCCAGAAGTCTTTGACGGAAGGAAGTTTGACTGGTCCAGTTTGTGTTCTGGCTGGGTGTGATCTGACCACCCATCTGTCTTCACTCTCCGCCCACTCTTTCCCCGGTCAGACGAGGCTCGCTGGGTGCCGTAATTCGCACTCTAGCGATCTCGGCCCTAAGCGCATGCTCGCACTATTTAAATCCCTCCCTAATTAGCTTTCTTATCTCAGCCCTCAGCTGCGCGCCCGCGCGTTAATTGTTTAACCCTATTAGTGGCAGGCTCCTGGCTACCCCATATTAGTGGCAGGGGGGGGGGGGCTGTTTACGACCCCCCCTTGATATCTCGAGATCTAACCGGCCGATTTTCAAAATTCAAACGGCATTCGATTTGGCTCAACGAGATCTACATTTCTAAAAAAAAATAAAATTAAAAAATGTCAATAGGGGGGTAGAGGGGGGTAAAAAAGGGCAAATTGCAGATACATTTTAGACTGTTTATCACGGCCAGGTTTCTGAACCAATCTTAACGCAACTTTTGCCGATTGATAGAGAATGAACCAGGAATTCACATGGATCCTAAAAATATGCATTTTCAAAAATCATAGGCGGATACAGATCATTGAGATTGGAAGTACACAAAAAGTATAGTAAATAAGGTTTTTGTTGGTACTGTTTCTAAAAAGGGTGGCAATGGTCTTGTTATGTTACAATTTTCTTATGAGAGAACGACTAAAATTGTATTGGTCATGCATAGGCGGTGTCAGGGCACCTATGTTGGGAGGTAAAAAATAACCCCCCTTTTTGGACGCCTGGATCCGCCTATTATAGCAAAAACGTGTCAAAAGAGGATGCACAATAACTTTGTATATGTTATCACATGATACCTTTCATTCACTGTTCGTAAAACTGGTGCAGCATCGTGATCTTCGCCCAAATGACTCGCTTCACGAATAGGACCCCCCAATTCCCAGTGCTCTGAAGCCGCCCCTGGTAAAGTTATGAACTTGAAATTTTCAGGGAATGTGCCCAATTTAGTTTTAGGAAAAGTCAGAAAATTTCAGCATCGTAGCTTCAGCGGTTTCGGAGATATTCCCGAAAAACCTGAGGGGTGGATAAAAACAACCCCCCCCCCCCCCCCCTGCCACTAATAGGGTTAAACCTTCCAACCGACTGTGACTTGCAGTTGGCCGGCCGAAATGGACTCTTCACGAATGAAAACGCTGCATCGGCGCCTCAAGAGTCAAAAGCTAGGGGCTGATTACTGTTGTTTTTACGAGTCATTTAGGTCATGTGGTCTGGACTCTTTGTATAAACCTAAAAGCGTGATGCAATACGCTCGAAATGACTTGATTGTGGCACTTGTGATTTCGTAACTGTGACTAAAAGGAACTGATTGTCAGGTAACAAAATGTCAGCATGAGACAGCGAGCACACTTAAACTCGTGTGTCATCAGTCACACTATTCACATAAGGACACACAGTCCCAATTGCAGTTTCTAGAAGTTCCCTGGCTGCTATAGGTACACTGTACCGTGAAACTGACTGTTGACTACAGAGGCTGATCACAGCTGCTGATCGTGAGACGTGTATGAACCTCTGTGTCACCAGCCGCTGCCTCCTGTCACCATGGAAACACGCCACCCCACCTCGGCCACTGCACGTCACCGACCCCCCATCAGCAACGTTTAGCCTACCCCGCCAAAGGCTCCTCCCAGCCCCACGTCACAGACCTCCACCAGCGGCGGCGGCAGCGTTTAGTCGACCTCTCCCCGCCCCTCCCCCCCCCCCGTCATCAGGGCAGCATCTGTGTGCCGACAGGACACCTCCATCAGGGGAACACTGAGCGCTAGTGAGACCGCCGGCCGCGGCGCCTCTCAAGTCGGACCGCCGCTCTGCTACCGCTGCCGCCGCCGCCACCGCCACTACGGGCGCTTGTTTTATCTCGCGGACTGTCATATTCGTTTTGTCTGGCACCAGGTCAACAGTAATATGCCGGAAGTGGAGCTGCGGCTCAGTTTTTACTTGTAACGTACACTCAGAAAACACTTTGAGAACATTTTTGAATAAGGGCTCATATGAGTGCCAAAACAGGGCTCAAATCTGTATGATTTTAAAATCGGTATCAGTTAGGCGCCCTTTTCGGGCTCAAAGTACATTAGCCCCGAAAGCGGCTTCAGTTCGTCTTCCTTTTCGGGCTCAATTCGAGCTGCGTTTTAGGGCTCCATACGACATTCCGCCATTCCGTCTTTTGCTGTTTTCAGTGCCATGTGTTGGTGTACCTACCGCCGTGATTTCAAAATGAATGGTAAGTTATTAGTTATCAGTTATCGCTATCTTTTAGAAAAAATCAAGATGTTGATGCTCATGCCATTTTAATCCCTTATCAATTAAAATTGTGGTGGCATTTGTTCAGAAAAGGTCTGATCTACAATTGTGGCGCCGTTGATACGAATACGCACGGGCTTGATTATTCGTTTTTCTTGTATTTGCGCCACATGAAAACATCATATCTGGATTCAGGATGTCAAATAGTGTAAGAATGTGCAAAATTTTTGTCTGGTTCTTTGTGATGATGTGATTGAAGCAATGCTTTCAAGGGTAGGTAAGGATTTTGTTACTTGTTCGTAATGGTTATCTTGATGCTCAACTAAAATTAATCCTAACCTTGCCTACTAACCTATTAAGTTAAACTTAGTACCAATACCTACCAACCTACAACCTATTTGGATCTTTCATATACTTATAACATGCTGCTGCTTCTGCTAACATGCTGCGGAATGCTGGTTGACATGATGGAATGCTGGTATCACAGTGTTCCATGTTTCAGAATTTTAGGTGAATAACCACACATGATGGGAAAAATATTTTCATCCTAAAAATATGACAAGTGGCTTTATTTCATCTTTGCTAAAAAAATATGTCAAAAGTTTGATTCAACAGCCAGCTGCCAGGTTACGCATGACTTGACAGTTGATGCATCTACTCTACATCATTTCATTTCAGATCCTGTGAAGGTTCTGACAAAATCAGGTAAAAAATGGCATTATGCAGTTTTGCGGAAAGACTAAATCTATCTCATTTTGTCTTCAGATTTTTTTTTTGTTGGGACACCCAATTGAAATCCAATTTTAGAACACTGTGACACCATGCCTGTGTGCCAAGTAAGAGGAAGGGTCTACAAGTATACATCAAGATAACCAATTATGGACAAGTTGAGACTTGAGTCATGAGCTCTTATTTGTGGTTACAATACCTTCAACTGCATGATTTTGCACAACTTCCATACAGGCATCCAGACTGGAAAAGGTTCAAGTCCATACTTATTCTGGTGCTTGAATATGGCAGTTCAAAGATGGAAGGCATATGATGCTACAAAATGAAAAAAAGTAATTCAACTTACAAAAATAGGTATTCATATCTATCCTAAACTAAACTAACCTAAACTTACCTAACCTAATCCAACCCAACCCAACCACCCCAACCAGCCCAGCCCAGCCCAACCCAGCCCAGCCCAGCCCAGCCCAGCCCAGCCCAGCCCAACCCAACCCAACCCAACCCAAAACCTACAGTCTAAAACCTAGAGCTAAAACCTGCAGCCCAAACTGGAAAACATCCATATGGTACGCCGGACGCCCGTGAAGCCGTCATGCGCCGAAGTTCGGCGCAAGCTATTTTGCAATTTGCGCTGAAATTTCTGCATTATTTGCGCCGAAGGTTAGTGCCTTTACAAAAAGCACGTTTACATCTGCTGGCCAAGGTTTTATAAACCAGACAGAACGCTCTGGGCCTTAACCACTCCTGACTCCCATGTTTGAGCGTCCAAATTAGTTGATGTTTCCATGGAAGCTGAATACCA